CTAAACAACTAGTAGAAAACACAAGTTCTTTGAATTATTTTTAAGCTTTGCTAGTATTGAATTCTGAATTTGTCGGAAATTTTTGGCTCAACAAACTACATTATATCTTTCATCTTTAGTATTTCTTATTTTAAGCACTAAGCTTATCTGGGCATACCAGCACATATCTGTAATCCCAGCACTCTGAAGCTGAGACAAGAGTATTGCAAGTTCTAGACCAGTTTCGGCTGCATAACAAGACCCTTGTTTTCAGTAGATCAGTCAGTCGGTTGGTCGGTCGGTCGGTTGGTCGAATTGTTTTGTTTTGAAAGCATACTTGGTGGTAGAGCACTTGCCTAACATGCAAAGAGCCCTGTGTTTGATCCCTAGCACTAGGGCAGGGCATCAGAGACCTCCAAGACTGAAGCCTAGGCTCCATTTGTTGCCTGAGGATTAGTGGAGACTCGGGAGCATCTAAGCTCCAGCTGCTCCTGACACTCTCATCCGATCATCTTTCTCTCATCTCATTTACTCATCTGTAGGAAGAGATTTTATCAGCCTTGTAGAATCACTGTGGACATGAAATAAACAGCATGGAAATAATGCATGCTCCAGGATAAAGACCTAGTAACAGTTCACTTCCTTCCCTCCTGATGTAGAAAATATACTTCTCTTCTAGAAATAGTTCTTTTATCATTTTTTAAGTACTGTTTTTTTTTAAGATTTATTTATTTTATGTGCATTGGTATTTTGCCTGCATGTATTCTTGCATGAGGGTATTTGATACCCTGAAACTGGAGTTACAGACAGTTGTGAGCTGCCATATAGGTGCTGGGAATTGAACCCAGCTCCTCTGGAAGAGCAGCTAGTGCTCTTAACTACTGAACCAGCCCCCCTTTTATCATTTTCTAAAATAGTGACATTCTGAATGCAAAGACATTAGAATGTCAACTTTAAACATACAAATGAGACAGTTTTTAAAACTATGTAATAAATAAATGAATGAAACTTACTTAGAACTGGAGCCACATGGCCACCCTGCCATTCTCCTGGTAACAGAAGAATTCTTTCATGGCTTAGAGGCAAGTCAGTGTAGGCCACAGAGTGAACAAAACAGGCCTGTCATCACATCACTTTGTTCTTTGGTGAAGTAATGTGTGAGTACTCATGCTTTTGTTGGCCTGTCGTGTCTCTAAGCATACGACTACTGTGGGTTCCACTTGGCTTTGATTGTGAGGGTTTTGCTGTCTTGATCAGCAACACCCCACAAGTTGCACTGGTGTCCCTCGAGATCCTGGGACAGGGCCACTGGAGCCTCCCTTGTTCATGTAAAAGAGGTTGCATTTTCCCAGTGGTGTAAGCACTGGGCTGCGGTTGTGACTTGGCAGTAGACCCCTTTCTGTACAGTGTCGGCTCTGACACTGCCACAGGGTGAACCACCAAACTCCAGGTACTCTGAGGGGCAAAGGAGGTGCTGGGATGCAGGTTTGGCAGGCGCGCTCCCCTCTGGCTCCCTCACACTGTGTTACATTGTGTTCTAGTGGTCTAGTGGCTGGGGATATCCCTCAGTGTAGACCTCCTGCCTCACGTATGCAAGACGTGGATTCCGCCACAAAAGAGAAGGCGGAGGGAGGGAGGGAGGGAGGGAGGAAAGAGGGAAGAAAGGGAAGGGAAGGGAAGAGAAAGAAAGAAAAAGAAAAGCAGTTGTGTTCCTATAGGATCTGAATTCAAGTCAACAATCTTTGAGAAAGTCCTGTTTATCCCCCCATGTATTGTATTGTGTTGAAAGAAAAGCAATCAGATCCGCATGTGTGACAAAGGACAATGCAAAGCCTGCAACCTCTTCTCCTAGAACAGGTGCCTCCTCAGGAGATGGAAGAAGTGAGGTTCCCACCAGTCTCTCAGGCAGTGGGCCCATCAGCCTGGCTAGGTTGGTTCTCTAGAGTCAGGAATGTGTCTGCCAGCTGTGACAGCGCACGCCTTTAATCCCAGCACTCAGGGGCAGAGGCAGGCGGGTCTCTGTGAGTTCAAGGCCAGCCTGGTCTACAGAGCGAGTTCTAGGACAGCCAAGGTTATAGAGAGAGACCCTGTCCCAAGTTAGATAGATGTAGACAGACAGACAGATAGACAGAAAGATTGATAGATAAAATTAACATAAAAAGTGTCTTTCTAGGAATTATATTTTGTTTGCTATTAATGTGAAGCCTTTGTGATTAGCAGAAATTATGATATCCAGTAATTCAGGTTTTTCAATAATAGTTTAATAAGTACCAAAATTCTTTTGAGTCACCACACCAAGTAATTCTTTAAAATCGAGTTCATTTTGTCTTTACCTCACTCTTGTTCACTTCCTTTTGTGTTATATTTATACATGTATATAAATATATACGTGTGTATATAGACATATGTTTGTGTGTATATATGTGTATATATGGGTGGGCATGCCGCAGCACATGTGTGAAGATCAGAGGACAGCCTGTGGGAGTCCCTTCTCTCCTTCCACAACATGGGTTCCAGAGAGTAGGTCATCACGCTTAACAGTAAGCACCGTTATTCACTGAGCCACCCTGACAGTCCATTCCTGTCTTTTTATGCTCAGTTTATGATATATAAAACATTAATGCTGGGCTGGAGAGGTTGCTCAGTGGTTAAGAGCACTGGCTGCTCTTGCAGGGGACTAGAGTTTAGTTTCCAGCACTGGCAGCTCACAACCACCTATTACACCAGTTCCAAGGAATCTGATACCTTCTTCTGACTGCCATGGGCATCAGACATGCACACTCATAAGCATAAAAATGATTTTAAATCCCCTTTTAAAATTAATACTGTAGTATGTTGCATGACTTATAAATAAATGGAACATATTACAAGTACATACTTTTTTTTATGTAGGCATATTCGGTCAGAAAAGTTTAAAGACCTCTGACCTAGATTCTGGCTGACTGTCAGAAGCATCCCGGACATCAGTCTGGTGGTCTCTGAGCAGGCCCAGGGTTGGTGTCAAGAGACTTTGTGACCACCTCTGATGGCCTGTCACATTTAAGAGCCATTCAGTGTCTCTTACACCTTATGCTGAATATCATCCAATGGCAAAACCCCAGCTTTTAGTAAATAGTAAAAAATGTAAGCCTAATGTATCCATTCTGAGTTTTAGTCATAAACTAGTTCATTGGATTTTGGTTTTGGTTTTGGTTTTATTTTTGTATTTCTTAGAATGTTTTTAACACATGTTCCTACTCTTTAAGTATTTTTGGCCAAAGAAATTAATTTATGCATGAATATTAGGTTAAGTCACATGAAATTGACAATATTTTTTTTAAACTATTTTGTATATCTTAGGGGTCAGCAGTCTTCCTGATCTGTAACATTGTGCTTTTAATAATAATTTCTGGAAAATGGCCATGACATTTTCTGTGATTTGTTGGACTGGTTGGTTGACGTGGGTTCTGCAGAACTCAAGAGTGAACCCACAAGCTACCAAGCATTCTAACACTAAGCTACATCCCCTGCTCCCCTTTCAGTTGGTTTGGGTTTTGTTTTGGTACGTGTGATTATGTTGCTGTGTGCAGGTGCACACATGTGTGTCTGCACACGTGTGGAGACCAGGAAGTCACCCTCCAGCGCAGCACCTTTCTTTCTTTTTTTCTTTTCTGAGGCAGTGTTTCGGTGACCTGAAACTCACCTAGTAGGGTAGACTGGCTGGTCAACAAGCCCCAGGAACCCTCCTGCCTCTGCTTCCCCGGCATTGGGGTCATAAGCACAGGCTTCTATATCTGGTGTGTTTTTTTTTTTTAATCTGTTGGGTTGTTTTTTTTTCTTTCTTTTGGAGACAGGATTTCTCTGTGTTGTTTTGGTGCCTGTCCTGGATCTCACTCTGTAGACCAGGCTGGCCTTGAACTCACAGAGATCCACCTGCCTCTGCCTACCAAGTGCTGGGATTAAAGGCGTGCGCCACCACCGCCCGACCACATCTGGATTTTTTTATGTGAGTTTTGGGAACTGAACTCTGTTCCTCATACTTGCAAAGCAAACTTCACCCAGTATGAGACCCCTACCCCACTGCTTTTAATTTTCAGTTACAAATTTTCAGTGATCTGGAATGCGGCTATGCATTTTACTACATAGTTCAGACTCTGTGGCGACGTCAAGTGGAAGTGATGGTGGATTGCTGTTGATTATCCCTGGTGATCGGGGATATCGTAGGAATGCTGCAGATGGCCAGGCAGTGATGGCACAGCCCAGAGCTATTACAAAGAGAAACTCTGTTTCGAAAAACAAAAATAAACCACTGTGGATGAATTAAAATCATAGATAATCCCCAAATACCATTTTAGCCATTAACTTAAGATTCTTTTCCTGTTAAGACTTCTCCCGAGGTCTCTTTTTAAGCTTGGAAATTGACTCGTTGAAGATCTGCTTTCTCTTTCCACATTCTGCTCTGCGCTGCTCTATAACCAAGAACAAATAAAGGACGGTAATATGGAGGTGGCAGGATCGAGACTCTTGACTCGAGCGTGAATAACCACCGTGATACACGGGGATGACTCTTGTGTGACCATCAAACCCTAGAGAGGTCTATGGCTAGGAGGTCAGATAAAGCAGAATCCGGGTCCTTTAAAGTAGAAGTGGGAGGCCTGACTTGAGGTGAGAAGGGCGTCTCTGAAGAGACTTGTCAGACAACCGCTTGGTCAAATGTATGCCTTCCACGTCACACACCTGTAACCCCAGCTACTTGGGAGGCTGAGGCAGGAGGACTACAAACGAAGCATGGCAAAACAATAACTTTGGGGCTGGCAGGAGGACTCAGGTTAAGAGCACTGGCTGCTCTTGCAGAGGACCTGGGTTCAGTTCCCAGCACCCACATTCTGGCTCACAACCATCTGTAACTCCAGCTCCTGGGGCTCTGACCCCCTCTTGTGACCTCTGTGGACACCAGGCGTGCAGGGAGTACACATATATACATACAGGCAAACACATAAAATAAAAATAAATCTTTTCTTTACACGGCTTTTTCATTACAGGTGATCTCCTTCTTTAGCTCAAGGCTGCTACAGGCTGGAGCTGAGCTGTCAGTGGAAAGAGTCTTGGAAATCATTAAACAAGGGGTTGTGGCACTGCCCAAGGACAGACTAAAGGTAAGCCGGCTGAAGACGTGTCTGCCACCCCTGGCTGTTGATCATTTATGCGCACGTCAGCATCTAGCTGTACTCAGAATCATGCCGCTTACCCCGTACTCATAGGTCAGAGAGACCGAATATTTGCTCTGCTCTACCTGATACCAAACTGCAGTTCAGAGAACAGCCAAATATGCTTTGACACCACTGCGTATCCCATGAGTAACCCCTGCACACCCCATGAGCAACTCTGATGTTAACACATATGTTTTTAATCCAGTCAAACAAATTGAATCATACAAACCTCACCAAAGGCTAATGGGAAGGTGGAGGCGGTGGTGATGCCAGTTACTGTGGGGCCTGACGCTTGTGAGTGCCTCCCCATGTCGTTCTGGGCCTCAGCATCTGAGTGTCTCCCTCATTCAGTCCCCTTCTCAAGTAGCTAGTGTCAGCAGCTGAAGTCATCAGGGGAGGAAGCCAGCATAGGAAGGTTAGTTTACCCAGAGGACTAGTTTACCCAGAGGACTAAACTAGAGAGTGGTTGAGCTGAGTCAGGCCCAGGCCCTTGCTTGCGATCCATACACTGCTTGCTGTATGCCTTCATACAGTAATGAAAAGTACTTCATGGAAACAGGGGAAATACTGCATTTGAGAAAATACGTGGTGTTTGTATGGCAGAGGCACTCGAGGTGAACTCATGGGCGGAAGTCCACACCTCACACCTGATCCCTTAGAGCAGTGGTTCTCAGTCTTCCTAGCGCTGCAGCCCTTCAGTACAGTTCCTCGTGTTGTGGTGAACCCCAACCGTAAGTTATTTTTTTTGCTACTTCCTAACTATAATTTGGTTACTGTTATGAACTGTAGTGTAAATATCTGTTTTCATATGGTCTTAGGTGACCCCTAAGATAGGGTCATTTGATCCCCCCCAAGGGGGTCATGACCCACAGGTTGAGAACCACTGCCTGGAGCCTGGTGTGGTAGCTTAAGTCATCTCATGAGCACTAAAACTTAGATTTGTGATGATAGCTTTTCTCTCTCAGAAAATACAAGAAACTCTAAAGGTGAGGATAGTTTATATGTCAAAGACGACAATTTACTTTTCAGTTTATGGTAGCAGAGAACACAGTAAGATCTATAAGCTAAAAAAGCAAGACATTTTGCTGAAAGTGTATGTAGCTCGTAACAAGGAAGAATTGCTCAAGAGGGTAGAAATTAAACAAAACTGTTGCCCACCCAGTTGCTAATGGTTTCATGTAAACAGATATAAGAAGGGCATTTCCAGATCTACATCCCTAGCCTCCTCTCCGGTCTCCTCCAGGCTACAGAGGAGATTTAAGGTCGTTGTATTTCCCAGAATCCTCTTCTCCCCATGATGCCACAGTTGCTGGAGATTTGGAGAGGCTGTTCTCTAGAGACAGCCTCCAGCCTCCACCAGCAGTGTTAGTCAGCTTTTCATTACTGTAACGCAATGCCTGAAGGAATCAAATGGCAAAGAGAGATTTGTTGTGGTAGTTTCACCCTGTGAATCAGTTGGCCCAAGTGCTTTGGGCCAGTCTTGAGACAGCATGTTATGACAGAAGCTTGTGACAAAACAAAATTCCAGGCCTAGTTCAGAGCTCAGGAACGGAAGAGGAAAGAAATAGGGCTGCAGAGTTCCCCAGTGACCCACAAACCTACCCATTCCCTCTCAACGCTTCCACTAAATGCTTAGCTGCTCCATGAGCAGGACACCAAGTCCTTAATGTCTGGGCCTCTGGAGAACATTCTGTATCCAGACTAGAGCCTGTCTTGCAGTGGGTGACTGAGGTCGTCAGTGGCCCCCAGCGATGCTGAAGTTTGCAGCGGCTCACGGAAAGCTCTGGAAAGCTCTGGAGCACTTCGGTGGTGTTGGCTATGATGTCACAGCTTCCCTGTGCTGTGGCTCTCAGGAAGTTGGATGTACTTGATTGACATGAGTAGAGCTTCTGTTCACCCTACCAAACCAGTCAGAGAAGTAAAACTCCTGATTTCAGGAGATAATGATTGAATGTGAAGAACTCAAAGTCTCAGAAACGCACAGTGAAGGGAAACCACAGAAGCTGCAAGGCCATCCCCAGCAGTGTGGTGGTGGTGCATCAGGGTGGGCATCCAGGAGCAGCTGGCAAGGCTTCCGCTGAAGTCCGCAGGCCTGCCCACCGCTGGCGCTAGACCTGGATTTCCTGTGTCCTTCGGGGTATGCACGTACCACCTCCATTGCCACACCAGGCTCTCAGCCATTGCCCCACGGGATAGCATGAAGGGGAAAGAGAGGAGTCAGTGACCCACGGACAGTGTCCAAAGACACTGGTGACGCATCGTGAGAAGCGGCTAGCCATTCCGCGGACTGTGTGTAAGAGGCAGAGGGAGCAATCTGAGCCTGCTCAGACAGCCGCGGACTGTGCTGGGAGGAACTTGAATCCTGGGAAGCAGGGAACAACCTGGGGTCTTCAGTCCAGAAAGAGAGGACACGATTACTACTTATGCATCCTCCCCTTCTCAATACGGCTTTGCCGCTGTCCCCCGCGGTGAGTTGGTTGAGTATGTCCTTTAAACAAAATTGAAGCCCAAGATGAGGAAATGAATAGCGAAAGAGGTACTAGCCTCCCTTTTTTTTTTTTTCATTTTTACTGTATTTTTTTATTTGACAAGTAAATGTGCGTATTTACATTTTAATGCAAGTGTTGGTGTGTGGGGTCAGATCAGGGTAGTGGTATATCCGTCATCTCAGACATTTGCTATTTATTGTAGGGACATCCAAAAACTCTCGCTTCAGCTGTTATGAAATAGTCACTTGATTAGTGCCAACCACAGTAATTCTACTGTGCTAAAAGTTGTTCACCTCCTGTTTCCATAAACCAGCCTCCTGCCGCACACCCCGGCTGGGCTCTGGAATCACTCTTCTGCACTCTGCTTGTCTGAGATAGATCAGCGTTGTTCTTCCACATCTAAGTGAGAACATACGATGTTTGTCTTTGTGTGCCTGACTGATTTCCATCTCCCATCCATGTTGCTGTAGATGGCAGAATTGTTCACAGTTGAGTACTATTCCATTGTGTGTGTACTACATTTCCTTATCCATTTACTCATCCACACCCCCTGGGATGATTCCACTTCATGGCTATTGTGAAGAGTGAGGCAGGCAGGAAAATGGAGTGGTTTATTTTAGATATATATCCAATACTAGGATTGCTGGATGTCTTGATTGGGTTTCTATTGCTGTGATAAAAAAAAAAAAAACAATTACTTGCCGGGCGTTGGTGGCGCACGCCTTTAATCCCAGCACTCAGGAGGCAGAGCCAGGCGGATCTCTGTGAGTTCGAGGCCAGCCCGGGCTACCAAGTGAGTTCCAGGAAAGGGGCAAAGCTACACAGAGAAACCCTGTCTCGAAAAACCAAAAAAAAAAAAAATTACCAAAAAGCACCTCGGAAGAAAGGGTTTATTTCATCTTATAGCTTATATCCCATCATCCAAGGAAGTCAGAACAGGATCTCAAGCCGGGCAGAAACCTGGAAGCTAGAGCTGATGCAGATGCCATGGAGGAGTGCTGCTTACTGGCTTGCTCTTCATACCTTGATCAATTTTTTACAGAACCCAGGACAAACACAGGACTAGCCAGCCTAAGAATGGCACCCCCACAGGGAACTGGGCCCTCCCACATCAATCATCAGTAAAGAAACATGCCCCAGCTTACCACAGGCCAGTCCTCTGGAGACACTTTCTCAACTGAGAGTCCCTCTTCCCAACTGACTCTAGCTTGTGTCGAGTTGACGTAAGACTGACTGGCATACTAGATCTATTTCCAGTTTTTCTAATACAGTCTCTGTACTGATTTCTTCCATACCGTGCCAGCCTTTTTAATCTTTTGACACTGTTTCTCAAAATTCTGGCAAATGTAACTTGTCAGTAAATTTTAGAACTTAAATTCTACAATAAATAGTAAAGCTGTAAGATATTTTTCCCAGCGTGTATAGCAATGAACTGATCCTGTTGTCACCCCAGCTTTCTAGGTGAAGCAGCTAAGACCTCAGGACACTGAGTAGTGTTCAAGTGCAGAGCTGGGTCCAGCAACACGCATTAACAAAGCAGCCTTTCTCCAGTGATATTTTACTCTGCTTGCCTGGGCTGTGATGAAGAGTACTCATAAGTTAGGGTTAGTCTGAGATCATGGTTAGCTAACATTGTTAGTAAGCCCAAATGTGAGCCAGAGAAGCAGGTGAGGTTACAGTACAGAGCCTGTATATCACGTGTGGTGAGGAGGAGGTTGTATAGAACCCGAGGAAGAGAGGATCCCAGGAGATACAGTGTCCGACCACTGCAAGTATTATATCATAGAAGAGTCAGGCATTTCATCTTTGGGGTGGAAATTGGACCAAGAGAATACCTGCAGCAAAGTCTGGGAGCAAATATAAGAACATCGTGTAATCCAAGGGCACAGGAGAGGTGGGTTAAAAGAAGTCCATAGGAGCTTGGGGGCGGCTCCTTTGGTAAACTGCTTGCCGCACAGGCATGAAGATCCATAGCATCCATGTAAAGAGCTGGGCTCAGAGGCACACATTCACCACCCCAGTGCTGGGACAGTGGAGAAAGGAGGGTCCCTGCAGCCCATCGTTAGCTAGTTCAGGTGGTTGTGGAATATGACTTTAGGCAAAGATGTGTTATATTTGTTTATGCTGCATTTTTTTTAACGATGTAAAGATGTGTTGCTTTGCCTGCCTAAGGCACCTGATTGTTGTAATAAAAAAGCTGAGCAGCCAATAGCAAGGGAATAGAGGGATAGGCCGGGCTGGTGGGCAGAGAGAATAAGTAGAAGGAGGAATCTAGGCTTGAGGGAGAACAATAGAAAATGAGAGAGCAAGGAAGAAAGATGCCCAGGGACAGACAGACAGACAGACACGGAGAGTAGGATATACAAAATGAAATAAAGGTAAAAAAGACCCAAAGCAAAACATAGATGAAGAAACAGGTTAAGTTGAGTTATAAGAGCTAGCAAGAAACAAGCATTT